GAGTTTAGAAATTAAGACTGAGTGATAGGAAACTTTTTCTTATAGCAATTTGGCAGAGCAGTTTTATGTCAACTGAATTTAATTAAAAATTGGGGTAGCATTTTGTATGGATGTTTATTTCATTTTTACAGCAATTCATTTTTATTCTATTGCACATTATAGGTTAAAAGACAGCCAAACTGTTCTTCACTGCGGATACTTTGAGAAACACTGCTTTAGAATGTACCTTTCCCAGTAATAAATCTGGTCAAATATTTCCTACTCTTTCCAAGACAGGTTGCCAGCCTTCCACTAAACACAGTATTATCCCTTTTTGGTGACAGGCAGGCAGCAGATGGGTAAGCCATTGGTCTTAGCACATGCCCTGAGCTTGCAATAGCTCCAACTAATGACAAATTGGTTGAGGATGAGTTTCAAAAGCCAGCATGACTGATTAATTACAGCAGCATGAGCGTTATTGAGTGGGTTGGGTGTTAACAAGAGCAGATGCACAAGGCTGGCTTGTAGATTGTTAACGGACCTGGAAAGGGTACAACACTGGTAAAGCGAGTGCTGCCCCAAGTTAGTATCACTGCTGACAATACACCATGGCCAGTCCCCTGGAGAATGAAGTCCACATCATAGTCCCAGTCAGCAACCAACATACTATGAGCCAAGCCTTCCTGAGACAGGTCATATGGTCACTATATTTCAAAACACTAGGGCTCTCCTAGCTAAGTGGATTGAGTTTTTCTCATTGAAATTTATGACTTTTTATGTTTGAGAGTCCCTGAGGGTGCAAATGGTTAATGCAGTCAGCTGCGAATGAAAAGATTGGTGGTTGGAATCCACTCAGCGATATTTCCAAAAAACAATGCCAACCATTGGAAATCATATGGAACACAGTTCAAGTCTGACACACATAGGTCAATGTGAGTTGTTAATGCAGTGGTAACTGGTTTTATATCTTTAAAATAGCTCTGTAGGATAAGCAATGGACTGCTAACATACGTCAGTGGTTTGAATCTACTAGTTGCTCCATAGAAGAGGAAGCTTTCTGTTCTGACAAAATTTACAAAAACTCTATACAGGCTTGCTGTGAATTAGAAATGACTCTACTTAACAACAACATGATTACTCTATGGTAGAATAAAATTCAGACTATTTCTAAATAAAAATAAATTTATTTAATGATAGAAACACTAATAATCAATTAAATTTTTCCTGCAAAAGAAATATCAAATGAGCTAGATAATTCTCTGGAAAACTTCGTGATTTGCTATTGGGTAGATACAATATTAAATGTGGACATGATTAGAATTCATTTATAGAAGGTAAATAAAACCAATACATGTGATGTAATTTGTGAACTCAAAACTGCCTTCATTCAATGGAAGAAAAATGGAAACAAACAGGTAAATGATTATTCTTCACCCACATTTGAGGGAAATCCCAAATGGCTGGCCTTTTTTCTAGACATAGTAATAGAATCCCAAAGGTCTAATGATGAATGTAGAGACAGCATGCTTCAGCCTAGTGGGAGGATTTCTCAGAATAAAGTGTGCATTTTGCAGAAGTGTGTATAAAAAGTACAAATAATGGGAAAGTGATTTAAATAGAACTTAAAACTATCATATGTAGTCCATGATTAGAGGCCTTGTAAAGGAATTCAGGATTCTCCTCAGAAAAATGCAGTAATTTTATCTTTTATCTCCTTTTCTACCCCTGCAATAAGTAATCTCAGCATCTCTAAGGATTGATATGGAAATCCTTCTCTTGGCATAAATTTGGTTGTGATATGAGCAAGCTATAAGAAAACTTCATGATAATTGATGAGCCTGAATGGAAGGCAGGGGTATTTGAAGTAAGGAATAAAGCTATTCCATTCACACAAAAAAGAAAATGTAGTTAACTCAATTATCTAGATATTGATTACACACAAAGTGAATTATCTGTGATTCATTGTTGCCTTTGTTGCCAGCTGGCCTGAGCAAATTACATTTCGGCTCTATTTGCTGAAATCCCATCTTCATACCTTTGCTTTCCACATCAACCAGAACTTGAAGATGTCCACGTGGCGGCCACACTGAATCGCCTTGTCTCCAGTGTCATAGGAAACATCATACTGCTTGTCTGGTTGGAAGAGGTATCCTGCACACATCTGGTTACAGCCTTGGAGCAGACCCTATCACAGAACGAGATAAGGGGACATCTGTATGCACAGTTCAGAGAGGTGGGTTGCTTTGAATCATGGCTGGCTGTGCAAGTACCTGGAAGGATGGACTTGGGGTCACATGCAACAATTCTAGTGTTCTTTAGGAGGCCTGCTCTGGTATCCCCTCTAAACTCACTTCTGGAAGAGAAACCCTCTGTCCATTCCCTTCTGTCACTCTGATTAGAAAATGATCTTTTGTCTCAGATGCTTCAAAACAAGGGCCTTTGGGAGTGGGTGTAGGTGTTTGGGATTATTGCTATAGCACCCAGTGACAGGGGTTCAGGCAATAAAGTCTGTGTTGGGAGGGACAGCTTCATGCTGTGAAGAATTCTCTCCTGGAAAAGGCAGTCCCAGTAAGTCTTCTCATCTTTCTTGGGATTTCCTATAAAGTTAATAGGGAATCTATTTATGGGTGGAGGGCACGCTGGATTGGTGGCCCTGGTTTGATTCCAAGCTAGTGCCCCTCAAGCTCAGCTACCACTGTCTGGCAGTGGTGTTGTTAAATTTTGCTCAACAGGTTTCAGCAGTTTCCAGACTAAGAGGAATTTCCAACAAATCAACCAGTGACAGCCCTCTGGATCACAAACGGTCTGAGCCCTTTGTATATGGGATCAACATGAGTCAACTCCCAGAAACTAACAGCAACTTATGTGTGGAATAAACAGAATGCAGGTTCTGTCTTCTCCAGGCTGCAGACAGATTTCTTTGGAATGCTGCAGTCTGTAAAAGCTTATCCAGGGCATTAGAGGGCAGGGTCCAATTTTTAGCTATTAAAGAAGGGAAAATAGCATGAATCCCATTTGCAGAAGCTTTCTGTTCAACAGTCATTTTTATCCTAATTTGATATTCGTAGTAGTTGTTCTATCATAAGTTCATGATAAGAACTAGAAGAATGCTCAGTGATCACTATTTCTTCCCACGGAGTTTGAAAGTTGGTGTCTCACCAAACCTCTTCCACTTTTGTGTGTGTAAACCTGAAGGAACATTCAATTATGTAATTCCCTTAAAGTTTCTGCCACGGATAGGACCTGAGTACTGAACAGGAAAGAAAGGCAGCAGACAGCAATAGTCAAAAGAAGGCACTAGGCTAACAGGCAACAGTAAGAAAGAACAGCCATACAATGGGGCTGCCAGGCTTATAAGTTTCTCAGCAATGACAGACACAAGAGGTCCTGAGCTCTCGCTTCCGGTGCCTTCTAAAGGGTGTACAGGAGACCAGTTTCTCTCTGGAGAGAATATAGACCTTTTCCTTGACAAGAATGGCCGAGCACTGTAACAGCACACCCATCATCTTGTGAGGGTTCCAGGTGACAGAGTTGGCCCTGAAAAAAGGATATTGAGACTGTAAGGAGAAGGTAAAGGAGTCAGAACGAGGCAACTATATCCTGAGGAAACCACTGCCCACCTCAGTCAGTAAACGTTTTCAATGCCAACTCTCCTGGTGTGGCACTGTGGGATAAAACACTGGACCACAAGGTTGGTGGTGCAAACTCACCAGCCGCTCCTCAGAAACCCTATACCGGAGCACTATGAGTCGGAACCAATTCGATGGCACTTAACAAATACAACAACACTCTCCTAAATACTCTCATCGAGTACTCAACCAATATTTTGTAAGCAGCTTCAAGGTCTTACCAAGTTGCAAACTGCCTCTTCCAAATAATTGCTATTATAATAGCTAATACTGATGAAGAACTTCTATGGCCTACTGTTCTGAAAACTTTACAGGGATTTTACTTTACTTTATATGGGTCTGCTATGAGTCAGAATCACCTCAATGGGCAATGGGTTGCATTCTTCTTCTAAGGAGCCCTGGTGTCATTGTAGGATAAGCACTGGAATGCTAACTGCAAAGTTGGCAGTTTGACCAGCTCCTCCATGGGAGAAAGAGGAGGCTTTCTGCTCCTGTAAAGATTTACAGGACTCCTGGTGTGGCGCTGTAAGATCAACACTGGACTGTGAGCCACAAGGTCAGCAGTTCAAACCTGCCAGCTGCTCCTCAGAAACCCTATACAGAGTCGCTATGAATTGGAACTGACTCAATGGCACTTAACAACAACAACATAGATTGACAGCCTCTGAAATCCTACGCAGGGTCACTGTGAGTCAGAAGACTCGGTGACAGTGGTTTGGATTTGGTTCTTCCTATAGCAAACCCTTGCTGTGAGTTTTTAATCTCATCATCTTTCAAAGGCCCTTTAAAGGGAAAATAATTTAGTGAATTTGTGACTACAGGGTGTCTCAAGGAGAAAAGAGGGAAGCCTGAAATATTTCCCCACTTAGTGCACAATGAAGAAAATCTTTGTGAAAGAGACTCGTAAAAAGTGCCAAGAAAACTTGACTAAATGCTTATCTCATTTAAAAAGTGTCAGTGTTGAGCCATATTTAAAAGGTAGCGGATGCAATCCATTTTCTCATTGAGTCATTAAAAAATTATATTTAGAGCTCATAAAATGTTCTAAATGGTTTTCTGACTGTCCTAAAAGTCTGAAGTAAATGATTCTTTGCTGCTTCAAATGGAAAGTAATAAGACATGATATGGATTCAGTTTTCCTTAGGAGATCTGTGTACTTTAAAATGTTAGAAAAGAAAAAGTCTAGGGCAAAACAAATTCAAGTTTTACCAGGCTCAATGGTAGACAATGAAAACTGCTTGGAAAATCTAAAATACAGTTTGGACTGGCTCACCTACATTTAATATACTTGTATTTCCCTCCAATTTATAGGGTCAGGTAGCTTTGCTTCCAAGACCCACCATAACGCTGGCTTTTCAAAACAGAAACTGAAGGGAGGAGGAGCAGGAGAGATAACAAAAGCCAGAGTTCATGCTACAAGAAAAGCCACCAATGTACTTTCTCTGATGCCTGCTTGCTGTCCACCTCTCTGACCTGGGTCCATTCTTACCCCTGTCACTTTGCTCCAGCCACACTGGCCTCTTTAATGGTCCCCCAGTTTGCCAAGAGCACTCCTGCCTCAGGGCCTTTGCACTTGCTAGTCCAACTGCTGAGAATGCTCTTCCCAAGATCTTTGTGATTTCTCTCTTTAACCCAGTATTTGCAGAAACTTCACCTCCACAGAAAGGTTTCTGGCCACCCTATCTAAAATAGTATGCCTCGTTACTCTCTGTTACCTGTGGTTGTGAGTGGTCTAGTTGATTCTGACTCATAGCAACCCTCTATGACAAGAGTAGAAGTGCCCCATAGGATTTCTTATGCTCCGGTAGTGTAGTAGTTATGAATCGGGTTATGAATCTCAAGGTCAGCAGTTTGAAACTACCAGCTATTTCGTGGGAGAAAGATGAGGGTTTCTGCTCCCATAAAGATTTACAGCTTCAGAAACCTTGTACAGAGTCACTATGAGTCAGATCCGACTCCAGGGCACACTACAACCACCACCAGTCTTTACAAGGGAGTCCTGGTGTGGTGCCATAGGATAAGCACTTGACTTCAAGGTCATTTTGAACCACAAGGTCAAAGGTTCAAACTTACAAGCCGTTCCTCGGAAACCCTAAACAGGGTCATTATGAGTCAGAACCAACTCGACAGCACTTAACGCCAACAACAACACTCTTTATAGGACAGATCAATAGGTATTTTTCTCCCAAGGAGTACTGGTAGGTTCAAACCAACAATCTTTGGTTAGCAGCTAAGTTCTTAACCATTGCACCACCAGGACACTTTCATTGTTACCTCTTTTATTTTTCTTTACTATGTGTCAGGCTGCTGCTAACCTCAAGGTCAGCAGTTTGAAACTACCAGTCGTTCTGAGAAAGAAAGATGAGGCTTTCTGCTCCCATAAAGATTTACAGCCTCGGAAACCCTATACAGAGTCTCTATCAGTTGGAACCGACTCCATGGCACACCACCACCACCACCATCCTGTGACAGATTTGATATATATGCATATGGTTGATTGAATACTGTGGAGTCAGTCCTGACTCATAGAGACCCTGTATGGGGTTTCTAAAGAGCAGCTGCTGAGTTTGAACCGCCAACCTTGCAGTTCAAACCAAACTTGCAGTCCAGTGCTTTATCCCACAGTGCCATACCAGGACACATTCTCTCTATATAGATATAGATGTATGGAGTGTGGACTTTGCTGGATTGCAAAGGCAGTTTGAACTTCAAGGTCAGCATTTCAAACTCACCAGTTGCTCCTTGGAAACCCTATACAACAAGGTCACTATGAGTCGGAACTGACTCGAAGGCACTTAACAACATCATGTGTCCTCCATTGGACTGATAACCACAAGGTTCGGAATTCAAACCCACCAGCCACTCCTCAGAAACTCTGTACAGGGTTGCTATGAGTTGGAACCGACTCATCGGCCGCTTAACAACATCAATGCGCCCTTAGCAAACTGATTAAACCTTCAAATTCCTGCATTTGTTACTTTCTCTTCTCTCCAAACAGGGCACCTTGCAGTTAATTCTATTGTTAGTCTTATCACATGGTGTTTTAACTGCTCACTTGTCTTTCTTTCTCAATTAGGAATTAAAAATTGAGAACTCATTGACCAAACCCAGACCCAAACTCACTGCCATCATGTCTCATTGATGTATAAGGTTTCTGAGGCTGTGACTCGTTAAGGGAGCTGAAAGCCTCATCATTCTCATGCCAAGCAGCTGGTAGGTTTGAACTACTGCCCTGTGGTTATCAGTCCAGTGCTTATCCTACAGGGCCACCAGGACTCATTTAATGACTGGGAAATCAAATCGTGTTCAGTGGTAGAACTGTCAGCTTCCATGCAGAGGACCTAGATTCAGCTCCTAGCCAATGTGCTTCATGAACAGCTACCACTCTCCTATCAGTGGAAGCTTGCATACTGCTAGGATGCTTCCAGACCAAGACAGGCTAGGAAGACAGGGCTGGTGATGTAGTTCCAAAAATCAGCCATTGAAAACTCTGGATTACAGCGATCTGATCTGCAACAGATCATGGGGATGGCGTGCAGGATCAAGCAGCATTTTGTTTTGTCGTGCATGGGGTCACGACTTGGGACTTAATCCAAGGCAGGTAACAACAACAATACGCTTACAACGCATGCTCAATAGATGCCTGTTGAGAGTTGTTGTTAAGTACCATGGAGTCAGTTCTGATCCATAGTGACCCTGTATAGGGTTTCCAAGGAACACCTGGTCAGCTTGAACCACTGACCTTGTGGTTCAAACTGACTTTGCAGTTCAGCACATTAACCCACAGTGCCACACCAGGACTCCCTGTTGAAAGTACTCAGATAGAAATAAGATGTTGGGAATCAAGGGCAGGTTAGCATTCCAATGCCCAACATCACAATATGTTTACTGGAATGGAAGGAAGGAGGCCAGCAAACTCTATCCCATACCTTTCTATGCCACTGAGTTTATGGCGGTGCTTCCGGGACATGAGCAGTCCCCCACCCCAGGCGGCCTATGAGGACAGAGAAAGGAGAGGAGAGGAATTTTAAGACCCTAAAACCAGTTACTCTGCACTGCTAGAAAAACACAAGAGAGAATGTAAAAGGTACGTAAACTATAAAAGAATGCAAAATTTTCTCTGACAAAATGAACCCACATTAATGTTCAACCGTTGGCAGTTATAATGATTCATCTCTCATCATTTTTGTTTTGTTTTTTTCAAAATTTCTCTGAGGTTAGTGTTAGCATAGCTGTGTGAGTGCTTCCGGTGAATTAGGTCTGAGCCTGCGGGCCCAGGAACCAGAAGCCCAAAGTTCCCTTTTGAAAGTCAGACTCGATATGCTCCCAGGCAGCCAAAGGACTGGACCCTGACAGCTGCCTCTTCCTAGCCTAGAATCCTAAAAAACCTCAGAACACAACCCCTGATGGCCTTGGAGGGTCTCATGATTGACAGGAGAGTGAGGGGTTTTTGTGAGTACTATGTGGCATCCTTACTGAAGAGCTTGGGATGTCACCTAACACAAGTCATTTATACCATAGCAAGACAGATCGCCCCATTGCCCAGTTGTAGGATGTTAAATCCATATGAAAAAAGAGAAAGACAAAGAAAGCAAGAAAACACACCCAGTCGTATGTGTGAAAACCTTTAGTGTTTCTGAGGAAATTCAGGGCCAAATGTTTTCACTGGTAACACCTTCCATCTACTACCTGAGTTTTCCTACAAGCACCAGATATGCTTTTGCTTTTGAAAGAAAAGTGTCATAGATGGCTGAGCTGAAGCCAGGTAGCCAAGCATTTGTGCTCATGGATGTGACTTCACACTCACACTCTGTGGACCCTATCTTATGTTCATTTCCCCTTGAAATCTCTATTTCACTGTGCAGCTATTGTCACCAAGGAGAATGATGGAGACCATACTTTTGGATGAACCACAAAGAGAGCAATTGGCCAGTAAGGACCCCGGAAAGCCCCAGAGTTGGTACCAGCTGTGGGTATGTACTAGTCATGAATGGCTGGCAGAGAGACAGAAAAGAGCTGAAATTAATGTGGTGTGGAAAGAGGACCACTGGGAGATTCCTGAGGCAAATCATAAAGCAGCTTCCCACCCCCAAATGGACTGAGCCACTCTGAGTTATAACACTTACATCCACATGGAGCCAAAGGTTATATTTCTCACAAATATCTGCAATATCCTGTATTGGATCAAAGGCTCCATAAACAGTGGTACCCGCAGTTGCATTGACATAAAGAGGAACGTATCCCTACAAAGGTAAGAGAGAGAGGTTGATTAGTCTTTTTAACTTTTCTCATTTGCTCATTTCCATATAAGGTAAAAGAATCACAGAAGCATTTATTTCTAAGAGAGATCAATTAAGCTGGGGTTGCATTAGATCATTTATGAGTCCATTCATTCAAAAATACTTTATGAGTGACTTCAATAAACCACTGTTGTAGACGTTGGAGATACAGCAGTAGGCATAATAGCTGGAGATTTCTATCCTCCTGAGGATAAAATTCGAGTAGTAGGAGACAAACAATAAAGAAACGTAAATAGGCAAAATATATAATGTGTTTGACAGTGATAAGTTGAGTGCAGAAAAATAAATCAGGTTAAGTGTCTGGAGTTATGGATAGGCATTTCTGAATATAGTCTGTTCTTTTAGAAGCTGTGTTCTTCCAGGTTTATTGATATAATAATTATACTGAAACATTGTTTGATGACGTAAAACAGATTCACACATTATGAAAGCTGAAAATTTTACTAATAGTGGACACAGTAACACTTTTACATGAAAACAGGACATGAGGAAGTGGTGTACTAGAATTAAGACAGGTTTGGGACAATCTCTAAATCCAAGGTTTTTTTGAGGCTCAACTCACCTCCACCTCTTGCCCAGTCTTAGCAACGTTTCCATCAGCATCTCTGCTGAGACTCCAGTAAACTACAGTTTAGAGGAGGTACAGAAACGAAACCAACACAACAATGCTTGTTTGGTAAATGGCCTGACAGCATCTGGAAGTGACTTGTGGATATATCTGTTCTATGGGAAAATTTTTTTTTGTTCACTTAATAAAATTTGTTAAGGTTGGATGGATTAGCCAACTATCACGGGCCATCTGCCAGGGCACAGAGTTCTTTGCTAAACAGAATCCTAAGCTAAATGGTATTTGTTAAAGCATGTGAAAAGCTCAATTAGGCTGTATCTTCATGATGCTAAGGTAGTTGATTTATTTAAGAAAATAAAATTAATTATAGGACAAATGGTTTAATGACTAAATTTCATATAAAAAAAAATCGATAGCATGGAGACACAGATTTAAAGCCAAATCATCTGATGAGTTGGAAATAAGAAAATATCTAAGAATAGAATTTTAGAAGCACCATAAGATTATCTCTTATATAATCAGAGATTTTTATTGTTTAGAGAAGAAAGAAAGTAAAAAATTTACATTCAACCGAGTTTCGATGCACCATAGAGTACACACCTTTTGTTTGGCTTCGATAATTTTTGCCTCCAAATCGGCTGGAATGATCTTTCCCCTGTAATTATTGTAAAAGGAGAGAAATTAAAATGAAGAATCAGTGAGTTGCACAAGATAAAAACTTCAGCAGCAGCAAGAAAATAATTTAATCGGATATTTTCAACAGACCATTAGCAGCTTGGCACACTGTACTGAGCCAGTCTTTAAGCACAATAAAACAAATTTAACAGATGAACACATTTAATACATCAAGAACTGAATATTCACTCTCCTCTGCCTACCTTTCATTGCACTTTATCAAAATCACATTGTCGGTTCCAAAGCCAAGCGCAGCCCCAGCCTTCTTTATGGAATAGTGACTCTACAACAGAGGCTTGAAATTAGAACTTAGACACCTTTGGGTGGGGGTGGGGAGGATAGAACCACAATTCATGTACAGTAGCCCCCAACTCACGTGTTCTGAGGTGAAGAGAACCAGTTTGGGCACAGCCGCCATGCCCTTCGTCTTAACTTCTGGAAAGTACTTGTAGCGAGCAGCCATGATGCTGTACATGTTGGATATGGCTCCCCCTAGTGGCAAGCAGACACATTGGGAGGTGTTGGGGGGTCTTTCATTATTGTTTCTAAAAAAACGAGGGCTGACCTGAATTTCAAGAGGCAAGGTAGGTCAAGAAGGGAAGAGATACTATCTTGATACGTTTTGATGTTTTCCCTAGTGACGAACCTTTTCACCGGACCCTTTGCCCTGGAAATACAAGTATTCATGCTCATCATCAGTGCCATCTAGGCAATTTGGCTGGAGGTGATCTGGGTTCTCTAGTGCCTTAAGTCTTGACAGAAATTTAAGAGGTGGCAGTGGCTACAAAGACAGGAGTGGGCTATAGCTTTCCTGCTTCCACTTTCTGCTCAATCTATTTACTGAGCAAAGACGAATCTTTTCCCTGAATCAGAGAGACAGAGAAAGAGATAGTATTGGAGCCTACAGAGGAAACAATGATGTTGCTTGGTTACCTACCTCAGTGCTGTTCTCCAAGAACTTAGGCGAGTTTTAATATTAAAATACAAACAAAACTTGTGTTTAACTAAATAAAGGCTCACAGAGAACTGAAGTAACTAACTGGGTATGTCTGGCCAACACACTAGTCACTTTTGCAACAATTACCTATTAAATGGGCAAATTAATGGTCTTCTTAAATGGCCTGGAAAATTGTAATTCTTATTTCTTTTTTCTCCTTGCACTCACTCACAGCCCTTGATGTCACAAATAAATCTTCCCTATATTCCTCCTAAGGAGCTCTGGTAGTGTACTGGTTACAAATCAGACTGCGAACCTCAGGGTCAGCAGTTCGAAACTACCAGCTGTTCCACGGGAGGACGAGGAGGCTTTCTGCTCCCGTAAAGATTTACAGCCTGTACAGGGTCACTATGAGTCAGAACTGACTCCACAGCACATAACAACAACATATTCATTCTGGTGTGGCGCTGTAGGATAGACACTGGACTACTAACCATAAGGTCAGTGATCCAAATCCATCAACTGCTCCTTGGAAACATTATACAGGGTCGCCATGAGTTGGAATTGCCTTGATGGCACACAACAACAACAACAACATGGTCCTCCAAGAATATCTGTCCTTGTTTTAAAAATTCTTTTTGTGTCTACAAGGGACACTAGGGATTCAAAGTAGATAGATCATTTTGATTGAAATTGACCAATTTGGTAATCTTGACTCACTGATCCTCACTCAGCTGAACCAAACTGCTTTTGATAGAACAGTTATTTAGCTTGGTTCAGACACAGCCTTTCTCAGTTTAAACAGGGTCAGACACAGCCTTTGTTAGCTAGTACACCTAGAATATAACATTCTTGCTAGTCAGGTCACAAAAAATATAGCATTCTTGCTACTGTTTATCCTGACAAACTTAATAAAGGAAGACTATGGAAAACCATCCTCCCTGGCCCCAGGTCCTTATTCTTTTACAAACTCATTTAGTGTTTTCAAGGATCCATATTTGAGAAGCATCAGAGGAAGCAAAGGGAAACATACCAGGAGAAAATATCCCATCGCCATCTTGACCTGACCATCCAACTATCTCTCTCATCTTCTTAAGTGTTATTTGCTCCATGAGGACAAACACTGGTGCAATTTCATATGTAAACCTGGAAACGTGGCGAGAAAATGAATGAAAATAAAGAAGACAGACCACTTATTTTGGGAACACGATGATTAGTTTAGTACTTGTACTTGAGTTAATTCCACTAAAGTTCAAACCCACTAAAACAATTCATTCCCTGAAAATACATGAAGTCATCCATCATAAAATGTCAGAAACCAGCCTGGGTTACCCAGAGAGGTGGTGAAAGTTCCTGCTCTGTGAGACTTCAGCAACAAAATAGGTTCTCATTAGACTGAGATGGCTTAGGTGTGGTCCACCACGAAAAACAGAATGAAAGAAAATGACATTTTTGGGCCCCTTTCACAGCCAAGATTGTAGCATGATGTAAATATCAATAGCAAAGTGTACTCTAAATTCTACATAAAATTGGATTGCAACTTTACAAATTTTATTTAACTGACCATAAATTTCATACTTGCAGAATCTGTAAAACCCAGATCTAAAATCTAACTTTTAAAAACAATGTAAACATCTGAAACGTAACTGTGAAGATAATTGGAAATATTGACCCTAGATTTAAAGAGCTCAATGTAATTATCTACATGGTTTTTCTACTGATAATCCCTAAGGAAAGTGATGTTTCTATATCTCTCTGGAGTCAATTTCTGTCAAGAATGATTATAAGTGATGGCTCTCTAATTACCAATTATAAATAACAAGAAGACAGTAAACTGGCATACACAGCTAACTGTGGGCATCAGATATCCTAGTAGATTACTTTTGTCTTCTAACCAACCCAGGAGCGTTTGTGGTGGTGCTATGGGATTAGCATTGGGCTAACCACCAGCTGCTCTGAGAATTAAAGATGAGACTGTGTAAAGACATACAGTTTCAGAAACTCTATGTAGGGTCACTATGAGTTGTAATTAACTGGATGGCAATGAACTTGGGTTTTGCCCCTCCCCCCCCCCTTAACTGAATTCAAAAGTAGCAAATGGTACTCTTCTCAAAGCAATTCAAAACCTAGGCACAGTCTGGTAGGCTAGCTATTGGAACCAGGAAGTGGCACCAAACATAGGATCTAAGAGAAATTATGGATGATTCATCCACAGAAAATTAAGCCAGAACAAATAAAAAGCTATTTATTAAGCTTGGAGGCTCTTTGCCTTTTTTTCTTTTTGCTTAGTCTTGTTGAACATAGTCTGTGGGCTTGGCTCAGACCTTCCTCGCTGAAAAAGGAAGCCTAGATTGACTCAGCCAAGTGATATGGAGGGATTTTATTATTGGTTAGAATGTTTGAGCTGAATGCCAGTGTTGAGGACTAATGGGAATTCTTGCTGGCTTAGTGATTTCTAAAAACTCTTCTCAAGGATGAGATAACTATTGTTGCATGTAAGACACAGGTGAGGCTACTAATTTTTAATCATGGAGAAAAAGCAATTAATCACATGGTTATAGAAAGGACAAAAAGGTCCTGGAGGATCTTCAGGATATGCCTGTTGGTAGAAGAATTTTGTTTCCAAAAAGAGTATGTCCATTTTTTTGGAAGACCCTTGGAAATTTAGAAGGCAGACCCTTGGAAATCATGTGTTCAATTACCATCACCTCTGGAGGTCACAATCATGCTTTGGTTCTGCTCTGAGCCCCATCACCGTAGCAACCAACACTCCCTCATGTCTGATGGCCTGACAAAAGAAGAATAAGAGAAGGATTCCTGGTTTAGCCTGTGCTGCTGAGTGTACAAGAGGCAAGCTAATGATGTGCTTCTAACCATACCTGAACAAACGTGTTATCAATGGTTCCACTTGATTTTTAGAAAACATGACGCAATGGCAAACACATGTTTGCATGGTGAAGAGGTACTGGTGGCAATGTGTGTACGAGAATCTCACAATACCAAATAGGAAGGGTCTCTGGGGTTGCCATGGAGGTAAGACAAGAAAAAATGGAATTGTACACCGTAATATCAGAACCATATCAAGGGCTGAATGAAAGTTGAGTTGGAAGTTAAGTCAGCATTAGATGGCCAGTTAGGAACCATATGGGAAAGGGACTGAAGGCCAAGGATGGTTCCAGCCCCATGCTTCATGATTTGGATAATTTTAGACCACAGGTTTGCATGAATTAGTCTTCCTAGTCCTAATAACACCTAAGATGTGACTATTACTGTCAGGATTAGGAGGAAGAGTTTAGAGAGTTAGATCATGAGACTATCTTATCTAATTCCAGTTTTTTATCTGTACCAGGTACCCAATCGCTAAAACTTCTTTTTAGTTCTGTTTAACAAATCCTTATTGAATCACTGTTCTCTACCAGGTGGCATCTTACATACTGAGGAGACAAAGATGTATAAGATACCATTCACAACCTTGAGGAGGAAGCTTGCTAGGATGAGTCCAGTATCTGGTTCTTGGCCTTAGCTGCATTCTATTAGGCAGTCCCTGTCTGAGCAGAAACTAACAGGTCCTGCTATTACCCCACAGCTAACACTGGCTTATTCTGATTCATGACCTTAGTCCTAACATCATCTCTTGGAAGCTGATAGATTGGCTCACAGCTGTTGGTCCTAAGCCAGGCCTACCAAATAGGATGTTCCTGAAACTTTCTCTGCCACTGCTTTGCCATGCTGGTCTGAGTTTACAATCAGGGAGCCTGCCTGCACCCAATCTTATTACAGAAGGCCTTGAAGTTCACCCAGAGCAGTAGTTCTTAACTGAGGTCATAGATTGCTTTTAGAATGTTAAGAAAGCTGTGATCCCTCTTCTCCAGGAATACATCGAGAGTATGTACAGCGTTTTGTATACACTTTTAGGAGGTTCTCCTCTCTCAATCTGTACCCCAGGTTGGGGACTCCTTCCCTAAATGCTAACGAAGGCAGATGAAGTCAAGAGATCAGAGGTCAAATATAGATTCTTAAGAGGTAGGTTGGATGCAGAGTCCAAGATAACATTTCAGAATCAGAGAATAAGAAACTTAACCTGCAAAAAGCTCTGGGTTGAAGTATAAGAACATGGGATTGGAAGTAAGGATTTCAAACAGTTGGATGGTGACATTTATGGAGTGACACAAAAGGAAAGTTCTGAACCTTTCTATATTCTGAATCAGGCAGTGAGTCAGCCCTTTTCAACTCACCTTCCCAGTGGTGTTCACTCAGATCTAAGACACAAGGTCAAGAAGCTGTAGTTCTCTTGTAGCACAGTTGCTGATTGCTATCCAGTATCAATTTTCCCTTTTCTCTTTAATGTTGTTATTGTTGTTAAGTGCTGTCGAGTCGGTTCTGACCCATAGCGACCCTGTGCAGGGTTTCCGAGGGTGTAAATCTTTACAGGAGTAGAAAGCCTCATCTTTCTCCCACGGAGCGGCTGGTAGTTTCGAACAGCTGACCTTAAGGTTCGCAGCCTTATCACTACGCTACCAGAGCTCCTTTTCTCTTTAATAGCAGACTGAAATTTTATTTAGAATTGCAATGTACCTGGATTTAGGGCTACATTTTTTCAAGTCTTCTTATGCAGCCATGGGACTAAGCTGTGGCTAAAGACATGCTGCCGAGATATTGTGTGGGACTTTTGAAAAGATTTCTTAGAAGGAAGGATTATGTCCCCTATTACCATTCCTTCCTTCCTTCCTGAGTTCTGGAACAAATACATGATACATTATGGCTAGAATTTCAGCAAGCTTGGACTAAGAGAAAACTCTGAGGATGAGAGGAAAATACGGACCAGAAAGGTATGAGGAACTTGGGGGAACTCCTTTAACAAAAACATAAACTACCATGTTGACCATCTTGATATTTCTTCTTTGACTTTTCCTCTTTACAGATGTGGCAGGCAGTCTAACTTTACCCTAAAGGATACCACAGCTGAGGACAACTTATTGAGTGCCCCCTGGTGTCTAGAGATTATAAAAGACAGAAAGGAAAGAGTCTGGAACTGAAGGGGAGGAACAGTGAATGGCAACAGTGAACTGAATCATGGCTGTCTTTCCTGGGAGCCTGCACAACACCTTGTGTATAGTAGGCACTTAAGACTACAGCCACTTTTTATTTCAGAATTACTCTGCAGTATGGATATAGTTATTCCTTATTGTTCTGATGAAGAAACTGAGGTCCAGAGAAATTCAGTGATTTGTTTTAAGATCTCACAGTATGTTTCAGAGTCAGAATTCCAAGTTCTTTACTTCATAGCCTCTTTTCTCTGAGAAATGAGAGCTGTTTACTCCAGGTTCCTCTCTAACAACCTATGTAGAGTATAATATGACTGGTAACTCCCACAGAAAAAAATTTCCTGTGTAACTTCTGCAAAAATAAATCACTAGATGCTTGAAATCATAACCTTAGAACACAAGAACTATGATAGATCTTGCCATTAATGAAACGTATTGTCATCAGGTGTTTGCGGGCAGGCTGTTCCCACAGTTGGGCACTGCTCATCCGGCACAATTGTGCTTGGTAGCCCTATTTTGAAGGCAAATTGCTGTATGTACATGGACAACTATACATGTGTGAAGTTTTCTTTGGATATTTACTGGGCCCTTGCTCCGAAAAATATAACTCAAATTTGTCTCCCTAGGAAGGCATTAAAGCAAGAACATAAATGCTCTTTTTATTCTAACAGTGTAACCTTACACTTATCACTTCAATTCAGATATTGGCTAGTTCTCTTTTAAAGACTATGCAAAGAACTCTGGTAGCGTAGTGGTTATGATTCGGGCTGCGAACAACAAGGTCAGCAGTTCGAAACTACCAGCTGTTCCGCGGGAGAAACATGAGGCTTTCTGCTCCCGTAAAGATTTACAGCCTCGGAAACCCTGTACAGGGTCACTATGAGTCAGAACTGACTCCACGGAACACCACCACCACCACCACCACCAGCATGCTAGGAATGTAGTTTTAACTCTCTTGTTTCCAGTGCCACCAACATTCAATAACAATAGTGGGGAAAAAATGAGTATATCACTAATTAAATCCTCTTCTGTCAAAAAGCCATTTCTTATTCTTTCCTGGACTTATTGTGAATACTGTTCCCCGTTGGAGAAAAAACTATCACAAGGAAGCCAATTCCTGCATAAGCTCCTGATAGTGCTGTCACAGTTCATGATCTTCCAGGGAACTGGCTTAGAACAATTTCTAGATAACAGTTATTACTTCTTCAGACAATGGCTTGTCCCTAGAATTGACAGAAACTATTTCACTATTTTAAATAACCTTCTCTATCGATCTGCTGGAATCAGATCATATTTTATAAATATCCACTGCTCAGTAGAGCTGCAATTACTACGTGCCATTGAGTTGGCTTGGCCTTGACCTCAGATGGCTAGAACAGATTTTAGTGTTTCATGGCTCAGCTGAGGCAAGGGAAGAGAAAGGGACTTTGATTTTATGAACACATACAAAATGGGAAATTTGTGGGGGTTTTTTTTGGGTGAAGAAAAGTCTTTTCAGAGGGTATTGGGTCATAAATGGGTCAAAGGGGTGAGTTCCTTTTCTTTACTTTGACATTGGCTGTATATACTAAGAAATAGCAGCTAAGTGGTCCACAAAACCCTCACTAATAGGCAATGGGTGAATTCTGTGCTTGTGTTAACATGGGTCCTTGGACCTTAATATTATACAATTTTTACTCTGTGTTTCTCATTATTTTCCAAAGGTTGCGTTTCAAAAAACTGTACTTCCTAATTAAAATTGCTCCTTAGTGTTAGATGCTATAATTAAGCATTAGTGGTTTTTCTCATGGTATAATTATTAGTGTATTATGTTGCCTGTACTTGCTGATACAATTGAATCTCACAAATCTTAATACAGTAAAGATTGCAAAGGACAGTCTTTGAGGAGACCATGAAAGCAATTGTATCTATGACCCAAATTCCTATGCCTTCCGGAGGCTCAGGGGTCCAACATGAACACTCTGTGAAGTTAACCATGACTTAAAGTGAGGAAGCATGAAAGCCATTTTCATTTTCAATCAATGTAATCTTTTCTGCCTTGGAACAGAAAGGCTTTAATTGTCACATTTTGCTTTTGAAAATTTGCCATTGTTGTTTTAAATTAGCAAACAAAGCAGGAATCCTGAATTAATAGAAACTTCTCTGAATGTGGGTTAGTATTAGAGACACTGCACTATATTTAGAGACACTGAACATTATTTCAGAAAAACTCATCCAGAATAACTTAAAACATTAATAACCTGCATTCTATATTGATGGCAAACTGAGTCTCTCATTTTGAATAATACAAACTTTTCGACTCCATTCACTTTTCTGAATCTACTATAGGCAGTTGTTGGGTTATAAACATCGGTCTTACATAAAGCCTGTATTATGAACCAATGCCCTGTAAAGCCTATTATAGTAACAATTCGAGATGCACATAATGGTTAATAATAACAAACAGGCATCAAAACATTATTACAGTTGTTGTTGTTAAGTGCCTTCAAATGGATTCTGACTCATAGAGACCCTGTATTATGTTTCTGAGGTTATAAATCTTTGCAGAAGCCTTATTTTCCTCCCATATTACTACTATTATTACTGTATTATTATGTTAAAGATGTTTCTTTACTGTTTTCTTATGCACAGAAAGGTACATTATATTCTATATACTAAGACAAACATATAACTGATGTTAAATACAAACTGAACCATACCTAACTGTTCACACTTACGTACAAATTAGACTTAGGAATGGAACTTGCTCATAGTCCGGGGACTGCTTGTATCTCATAAACTTAAAAAGAGGGTGATCGTTTTCTGAGTATTTCCACAGCAACTGATGTTTGTTGTTGTTACCTGCCATAGAGTCTGCTTCAACTCATGCTTCCAAGTCAGGGTGACCCTATGCACAACAAGATGGGACCATTGTGATCCGTAGGGTTTCATTGGCTGACCATTGTGATCCACAGGGTTTCACTGGTTGATCTTCAGCAGTAGATTACCAGGCCTTATTTTCTAGTCCATCTTAGTCAAGAAGCTCCACTGAAACCTGTTCAGCATCATAGCAACACACAAACCCCCACTGACAGATGAGCGGTGTTTGGGGACTGAACCCTGGAAACTGACAATCCCACCACTGAAACAGCTCTTCCTTCTCCACAGCAACTGAAACCCAAGTCAGACTTGAATCCCTCAGGACCTTAGAGTCAATTTGATATAAATTGACAAAAAACTTAGAAGCAAACAAAATTGTCTACACAAACAAGTATGAGGGAAAAAATGTCAAATTCAGAAAAAGCAATTATTTTGTAAGAAATATAAAATCTCCTAGCTGAATTGTATTAGACTTTTTAGTTAAGCAATAGATAGATATGTCTGAATTGGTTTATGGTTTCTATAAAGGAAATAGGACCTAAATGGTAAGTATTGATGATGTACTTGGATGGGAAAAGGAACCAAGATCATATCCCAAACACTTACTCTATAGATATAACATTATGAGATATTGAATCTTTTTCCCTGAAATTTTACACTAAAGTTGGAAATTGAGAGTCATCATTTCTTATGACCATATTAAGTTACATTATTCAATTTAAAAAGTATTGAGTATCTACTGTTAAATCAGAGTTGTGATCAACCTGCAAGATTTAAGAAAAAATAACCAGGTCAACTTTAATAAAATCATTATAAAACCATAGAGATTGGACTTGTAAAGCAGCAAGTGACCACCAGACATCATGGTTGTTTACATGGGACTTACATATTGGTATTGGCGGTAGATGTTAGCCATTCACCAGCTAAGCCAATGATATCCAATCCAGTGGAGAGCTGGTTGAAAAAACGAGGATGACCTAGAGAGGTGAATAATAGATAAACATCAGGGAAATCACTGGTTTTCAAGCCACCTTCAAAGCAAAAATCATGCCCCACTAAGCCACATTTATGGGGTCTCTATCCCAGTGATGGAGTTCTGATGTGGCATGTAGGATAAGCACTGGACCACAAGGTCAATTTGAACCAAAAGGTCAGCAGTCCAAACTCACCAGCTGCTCCTCGGAAACCCTATACAGGGATGCTATGAGTCGGAATCGACTGTGGAGGGCATTTAGCAACAACGACATCGCAATGATATGTCAGATACAGGGACTCCAGGGCCTTTGAGAAGGAAGAGCAGTTAACCCACCCTACACCAACCCTTAATGATATCTCCCCCAACCTGTTTCTAAAGTCTCATACTTTCAAACTAAAAAAAAAAAAAAAAAAATCCAATATTATGAAATGGATCATGCTTTCTAGTATCTTATTTGGTGCTTTCCAGATGAAGTCCTCTGTTAAATTTATTTTAATTACAAAATAGAATGTTATGTTTCTATGCAACTGTTTCAATGTTGAATTTAACATCTTTAGGGCAATCCCCAAATCAAGGTTCTGCTGATGAGAAGAAGCTGCAGGCTCAGAGAGGGTTTGTGGCTTTGTGAACCAAGCCAAGCTGGGGACAGTGCCAGCTTTGATGCTGATTCTGTGAATATGGAATCACTCTCTGGGTCTCCGTGTTGGTCCAGTCAAATATGACACCAAGCAGGGTATATTTTGCCCACATATAGTCAGTCAGGTGACTGTTAAACGAATTTATTGCTGAAATGACCTGGCATCTCCTCTGTGCAACAGGGGCAGACACAGTCTCCTTCTGTCATTGAATTTTTGGTGAGATAAATGTTATTGCTACATAATCTAAAGCTTTCTGCAACCCATACAATACTTTAAAAAGGCTTTGTTCTCAGCAAATTCAGGACTGTTGCCAAGTTTTGGCCAACTTGGCATTCCCTGAAAAACTCAACTCCACATCAGCAGGCTTGGCTCAGCTGTCATGAAGGAGTCAATGCAATAGATTATCCATGGGTGTGAGACAGAGAACTGGTGTTAGAAAGATATGCTGACTGCAGTGTTTCCAGTGGAAATTGCCTTTGCCTCTGAAACAACTGTCAAACAGCTAGTGCTTGAGTGTTCCTAGTTTAACTCCTTTCTCTGAGAAAGACTCTTCTTCCCTAGATGTGATCAGGGCCCATCCAAACATCTGGACTATCTATGACTTCTAGATCAGAATATATCAATCTCTGTCTGCATCTCAAGAGTTCCCAAAAACTACTAATGATTTTTACTTTTCTAAAAAGGGAAGCATTAACAGTAAACTCAGTATAAGTTTGGACCCAGATTGCAGATAGTCATGAATCACTCAGACTAGTCTTTTTCACTGTACCTCACTCAGTACCAATGGAGCCTATGAGATCTCTGGCAATGTAACTAATTTTATTGAAATCCAATCATTTGAAAACTCAACAATAAACATTTGATATTAAGACAGAATTGGATCATGAATAAATGTTATATTATTTGCTAATGTATCAAAACTATGTAGCAATGCTACATACTAAATATAAAAGACACTGTTGTTGTTGTTGTTAAGTGCCATTGAGTCGGGTCCGACCCATAGCAACCCTGTACAGGGTTTCCAAGGGTGTAAATCTTTACGGGAGTAGAAAGCCTCATCTTTCTCCCGCGGAGCGGGTGGTAGTTTCGAACCGCTGACCTTAAGGTTCTCATAAAAGACACTAAGTCCACAAAAACCTTACTTTTAGCTTATGGTGCAATCTTATTTCCCCAAAATCTTGTATCAGAATTTCTATCAAGTAACAAGCACTGGATAGCTAACTGATAGGTCATTGGTTCAAACCTACCAGCCACTCCTTGGAAACTCTATACAGGGTAACTGTAATTCACAACTGACTTGACAGCACTCCATAACAATAGGAATAAATATTCAATGGAAATGACAGATGGTAGTGAGCAGAGTCAGGCTTACAGTCAGGCGGGGGAAGAAAGAAGGAGTACTTTTTATAAAAATAAAGTTTTTCAACAAATTAATTGCCAGAAGAAAAAAAAAGAGATGGAGGGAGAAATCCATTCATTAAGAGACATTAACCAATTCCAATATGAGGGACTTAGATTCTGATCAAATAAATTATAACAAAATATTTATGTAATTCATCAGACAACTGGAAATTTGAACACTGAATAAATATGAAAGGATGTTGTTGTTATAAGTGTCATGGAGTTGGTTCCTACTCATAGTGATCCCGTGTAGACTTTCAGAGGCTGTAAATCTTGATAGGAAAAGAAAGTCTCATCATTTTCCTGTAGAGCAACTGGTGGGTTTGAACCACCAATCTTCTGGTTAGCAGTCCAGTAAGTTTAGTGTTTTTAAGTATAACAATGATACTATTTTGTTTTGTTTTGTTTTAAAGAATTCTTGTGGATGAAAAATAAGGTAGATAGATAGATAGATAGACAGACAGACATTGATTCATGGGCTAATGAGATTTCATGCTTTTGCTAACCACGAAATACCTTGTTTTGAGACAATGAAAAATCTAATTGGCTTCAAGTTAATTCCAGCTCATGGTGACCCTGTGTGTGTCTGAGCAGAACTGTGCTCCATACAGCTTTCATTAGCTGAATTTTCCTAAGCAGATCATCAGGCATTTTAATCACAGGCACCAATGGATGGACTTAAACCACTAAGCAGCCAACAAGACCATTAATGTTTGTACCACCTAGGAACTCCAATACTGTAGACAATATGAAATACTATAATAACAAATTCACATACTTTTCTTGGAAAGACAACATCATCCTGGACTTTAATGATAAAAGTGTGCAGTATCCATCTCTCCGTGAAAGTGGATGCAAAGTGAACTGACAAAAAACACTGGCCAAAACAAGTCAAGCTAAAACATACATGAAAAATTTGGACTCTTATCCAGCTAAATAACACTATGTTTTCTCTTTAGGAATAAGGCAGTCATTAGACAAAGCTGAGATGTAACTAAATCAATGAAATTTTCATCAAAAATCAAACAACACATACTTTATACATCCAAGCTGTTATCCAATGAAGTCACACTGTTCCAGAGGTGCTGCCAGAGCTCAAAAGTGAACTGGGATTCCTTATTTTTAAAACGCCTCGTTAGTAGATATATGCACACCAATGTTTATTGCTGCACTATTCACAATAGCAAAAAGATGGAGACAATCTAAGTGCCCACCAATGGAAGAATGGATAAACAAACTATGGTACATACATGCAAATGGAATACTATGCTTCCGTGAAAAATAGCAATAACCACCGCAAAACCTTGAGGATATTATGCTGAGTGAAATTAGTTTCTTGCAAAAGGACAACTATTGCGTAAGACCATTACTGTAAAAGCTTAAGAAAAGGTACCCATACAAAGGAAAAAAAAATTCTTTGTTGGTTACCAGGGGTGAGAGGGAAGGGAGGGAAGAGCACAGGTTAGGGGATAGTCACATCATAGCTCAGGTTGGGGAAGGGCAATTTACAAGGAAAGAGAGGGCAATACACAAAAACAATAGTGGAAAAACAAGGTAGGTAGGTTTTCATAGTCTAAATGGGTCAGAGGTAAATAGTGATGTATGTTCAACCTTGGAACAACAGAACTCTGGGATACAGAGATCGAGGCATAGTCTGAATGGATAAAAGAGGGGAATTAATGATAAGATGCTTAACTGTCTTATGGATATTGGTTTCCCTTGCCTACTATTGTGACATAGACACTTGTGTGGGATAGAAAGGAATATTGGGAAACATGACTACAGAAAACTTGTAGGGGTTCTAAAACTTTTCCAGTGAAATAGGCTTTCTGCAGAGCCTTTGTAGTGTATAGGACCTTAGGTGGAATCCTGAGCCCCATCCAGAACCTTCTGAGGTAGGACATTTCCACTTGAAAGGACATGCATACTAGCCCAAAGCGGCTAGAGAAACACAAGATACTTCTTTTTTTAAAAAAATTTTGTGTGTGAGTTATGTGATAGTTTACATGGGAAAACATTAGCTTTACATTCATCCTATTGTGTACTGTTTCATTGCCATGGTTACAGTCCCCTCCATGCATCATCAACCAACCAAAGGGTATACCCTGCAAGCCTGCCCCCTGGTCGTCAGCACACAGCCCCTCTCCCTCTCTGGGTCTAAAGTCCCTAGATGCTCCATCTCCACGTCATCGTCTCTGCCTCCATCTCTGGCATCACTGTTTCTCTGGGTAGGGTCCCGCACTCCACTCTTCTCCCTTGATGGTTCCAGGGACCTCTGCTCCTGGACTGCAAAGTCAATCACTCCCCTCCTTTTGCTATAAAATGTTTACCTTTACATTTCCAACCCTCACAGTCAGTCCTGATAACAATTATTCATTATTGCTATCTACAATAATGACAAGAGACCTCTCCCCATCTCCTTTTATCAGCCTCACCCAGACAGATTGGATACTACTCAGTGGAGATTCTACCTTCCTTCACACCCTCTGGATCTAGGTTCCCCCTTGAAAGCTTGTAAGCCAGTCACTTCTTGCCTTTGTAGCAGCCCCCTACTTTGTAGCAGCCAATGTCCAAGTTGCCCATCCCTGTCTACTCTGTGTGTGGAGGGGGTGGGAATGATGCTTGCTGTAAAGATTTTTTCCCTCTTTTGAGCTACTGCATCCATAGGTGTAGGTCAAGTTCATCAAATTGTATCAGATTATTCTTTTTTTCCGCTTCTTTCTTCTTCTAGTTGAGCTCTGATCATCCAGTCATTGAAGCCAGGTCAAGTGGGTATTATCTACAAGTATGGGTGTTCTTATGCATATGCCCTCTCTTCTTATCAGCTGGATGCTTCACTTTCCACTCTAGTCCTCTGTGGCTATGTCACTGATTCTGGGCCCAAGAGTCCCCAGGTCTTGCCACACTGCTGGCTGACCAGATCTCCACCCAGGTTCACAGGAGTCTTATTGAATGTTGTAGGGCTTAGCTTGCAGCTTCATTGATGTTTTTCCCTTACTTCCTCTTATTGGTGACGAACATGGTCACCAATCAGAGAGCATGTCTGTTCGTGTATTACCACTGAGTCTTAGTCTTGGAAGGGGTTTTGCCCTGAGGGGACCCAACCACTTGCCTTGATGTCTCCTGGGTGAACAACTTGCTTGTTCTTATAGTAATCAGTCGGACTCCCATTATTGTTTTGTATTTTTCCTGTTGGTCTTTCTTTCAAGAAGTATCTTCTGTTCTTCTAGCTGCTTCAGGCTGGTCTGCTTATCCTTTCAAGTGGAAATTTCCTACCTCAGAAGATTCTGGATGGGGTTGAGGATTTCACCTATGGTCTTATGTAATGCAGAGGCTCCACAGGAAGCCTCTTTCACTGGGCATGTTGTAGCCTCATTTTAGGTATTCCAATCAGTTATAGGCAGATGATGGACTTACAAGCTTTCTATGGTAATATTTCTGGCTATTCCTTTCTCTACCCTTAAGTGTCTATTTTATAATGGTATGCCAGGGAAACCAAGATTCAAAAGACAGCCAAACATCTTAACATTATTTCCTCCCTTTTGCCCATTCCAACCATGTCTCAATCCTTGTATCCCAGAGCCCTGTTGTTCCAAGGTTGTACATACATCATTATTTACCTCTGTCCCACTTAGTCCATGAAACCTGCCTAACTGTTTTCCCAAATGTCTTGTTCTTCCATTCCCCTCCCCCTTGTGTATTGCTCCCTCCCTAGGACCCAAACTATCCTGTGTCTATTCCCTACCCTGTGCTCCACCTTGCCCTCTCGTCCCTTCCCCCACCCCCCACATCCTGATAACCAGCAAAGATCTCCTCCCTCCCTCTTCCCGCTGACTTTAGTATGGGTTCTTTTCCTTAGTCTTTTACAATAGTGGTCTTATGCAGTATTTTCCTTTTGTGACTGACTAATTTCACTCAACATAATGTCCTCAAGGTTCATCCATGTTATGCGGTAGCTTGCAACTTCCTTCTTATTCTTCAAGGTAGCATAATATTCCATTGTGTGTATGTACCACACTTTGTTTATCCATTAGAAGATATTTCTTAAAAGAAAGACCAGCAGGGAAAATCCAAAACAAAAATGGCAGTCTGACTGGTTACTCAAGAACAAGCAAGTTGTTTGCCAGGGAGCCATCAAGGCAAGCAATCAAGTCCCTTCAGAACACCCCCCCACCCCCCTCCCACCCCCCAAGACTGAAACTCAAAGGGAACACACAAGCAGGAATGTAAGCTTGCTGATGACCACACTGTTCTACTTGTGAGTGGAAATGGGGGAAAGGCAGCAATGAAGATGTGGGCTGAGTTTGACCACGTTCCATAGACTCCTATCAGCCTTGAAATGGGAGAGAGAAGAGGAAGGGCTGGTTGGTCTGAAGTGTGGTGAGACCTGGGGACTCCTGAGTCCACGGACAAGGCCATAGCCATGGAGGGCTAGAACTGAGAGTGAAGTGTCAGCTGATTTGAAGTGAGGGAAGATGCACAAGAACGCCGAAACTTGCAGCTAGTACTCATTTGGCCTAGCTTTGATGGCTTGATGATCAGAACTCGAATAGCGGAAGATAAAGAATTTGATAAAGGAAACAAGTGTAAATTGCTACAATTTGATGAGTTTGACCTATACTTCCTGATGTAGTAGCTCAAAATATATCAACTTAGAGGGAAGGAGTCTTCATATCAAGGATCAAACCTATCTCCTCTGTATGCAGAGTTGATAGGGACAGGCAACTTAGGCATTAGCTACCTAAAATCGGGGGGTAAGGGTAGGCTATAAAGGCATGAAGTGGTTAGCTTACAAGTCTTCAAGAGGGAGTTTAGTTTCAGAGTATGTGGGGGAAGGTAGAATCCCCAATGAACAGTTTCTCTCTTGTCTAGATTGGTCTAATGAAAGGAGATGAGGATAGGATTCATTGATTCAATAGTGAGTAATTGTTATTATACCTTATTGCGATGGTCACAACTGTAAAGGTTGTGTAACAAAAAAGTTGTGTAACAAAAAGGAGGGAGTAGTTAATCTTATATTCCAGGAACAGAGGACCCTAGGACCATCAAGAGAGAAGAGCATGAGCTGAACAAGGGACCCTTCCCAGAGAAGGGCGACACCAGAGATGGAGCCAGAGGTGATGGCATGGAGAGATTGAGCAGCTAAGGACTCTAGACTCATGGAAAAGAGAAAGGCTGTGTGCTGGTGGCTAGGAGACTGGCTTCCAGAATGTGCCTGTTGGTTGTTTAAACAATTAAATACCCCTGTGTGGAGATACACATTATAAATGCCTCATTATTTCATTGTAATACTTTACTTTTGACATCCAATAACCATACTCTGCTCTATTACAATCTTCTCCAGTTTTGGTCTTAAATCGATCTTCAAATGACTAAGAAGAAAGAGTAAATATAAAAGAGAAAGAAAAAAGAAAGGGAAAAAGGGGGTTGCCAGTTGTGGCCTTTGGGGGCTCCTCCTGTGATGGCAACTGCCACAGACTTCCAGTTCCCATAGACCCTTGTGTCCAAGAGCTCAGGAAAGCCAGGCTGTAGGGGAGAATGTTATAGGTTTAGAAACAGCCCAGATATAAGTCTATAAAGTACTTAAACATGAGATAACTAGAAAGTAACCATTTTGGCCAGAATTTCTGATTAGAGAGGGCTGTTCTAACATGACAAGGAGGTAGTAGGGTAGATAGAGATGGTGATTCACAGTGTCTAAATTCCAGAGGTTGGAGTAGAATATGAAGTGTTGGGTTGAATTTTTGACCTAGATAGCATAAGCAGAGGGAAAGGAGCCTAGTTTGTGTGGGGGACAGAAAAGACTAGAATTTATAAGAATGAAATAGGTAAATGAGGAGGGAAAAGGAAAAGAAGTAGGGGATGGGGTATACTGTGAATATCCTAAAACCAAGAATGAACACTCTTTATACAGAACTTCTTAATCTACTTTTATAACAATAAATGATAATAAGATTTGTCTATCAGGGGACTTCCACCAATTGTCACTGCCCAAGGTTCATACCTGTGACCACAGAGCACTCTGCTGCCATCCCTTCAACATGAGTTTGATAGTCTCACAATTTGCAGGGAGCCACTGCCGGTCCACCTGGCTCTCACCCTTACCTGTGCGGACCCCATACTTCAGGGTGTCCCTGCAGTCAACCAGGATCTGCTCCAGGGATTCAGGGTGGTCGGAGAGCTCCAAGTTGAAACCCTCCATGCCTTCCAGTAACTGATGTGGGTGATGAAAGTCCAGCACCTTGGTGGAGCGGTCAAATGTCTTGCGGACATAGTTGAGGAGTATGTCCACCACCTCTAGCAGAAACTGCACAGTTTGCTCCTCCCCGTTCTTGGCTGGAAGTAGATCTGAAGGTGGAATGCAACAAGTGATTATCACCTGACTCATACCTGGATATTGTTGGGCCAGAAATCCCTAAAATCTATCATGATATTTTTGCAGGCTGAATTTCATTTCAGGATACACATATTCCCAGAGAATCTGTTGTACAATATTCCCAAATAAAAGCACATGTGCAATGACACAAAATGTTTGCACATACTTTCTGGAGTTCACAGGCTTTGTGCTTTGAGAAGCTGTGAGCTTCCGCTACTGCCAGCTGTGTATTTGTGGGCTGATGGATACCTCTCCTGACGGAGGAGTCTTCTATTTTGCTCCCCTGCTATAAAGTGTGTATCTGTATACACTGGGGACCTGATTCAGAACTGGGCTTTTGATTTGGTGTTTAATGTGCTTGACCTATTTATAGCTGAAGGTAAAGCTTCTGTGGGTACGGCCTGTGGTCTCCTGAAGAGGGAAGCCCTTTGTAGTGTCTTCACAAAGGAAATGAGAATTGGAAGGTGGGCTCAAGAAGGTATGAGAAGGAACTCCTGCCTCTCCATTGACCTCATCCTTTGGGCCTGAACTTCGGAATGTCTAGAGGTGACTGAACATCATCTAGTGTTGTAGGGGTTGCAGCTTCTGCTAGACAGCATCATGGTGGGCAAGACACTCAAGGAGGAATGCTGCAAGCTGTCCCAGTTGATGATATTAACCATAGCTCAAGTACAAGTTAGCTGGTGCTCTATGTCCATTGCCTGGATTCTCTCTGTGTTGTCAAATAAAGTCTTGTTTCATGTTCTGGGTTGGCTTCTGTACCCAAATGGGAAGGGGATGGGTGAGTCTGCCTTTGAGTTGTTAGATGGAGAAAGCTAAAACACCCTGTGAGACCAGTGTTATGGGGACCACAGTAATTAAGCACTTAAAGATCCTAAAGGAAATGGAATTTCAGTGAAGTCCTTAGTGCTGAGATCCATTCACACATCTTTCGGTCAACCTTAGAGATAAGAGCCACAGATTTCTTATATGTAAGGTCCCTTCATATTCTCAGATTCTATGACTCATATTTGGTTCCTGTCAATGTCTTTAGAGACACTAAATTCTACAAAATTGACTATTTCATCAGCTACCTTCACACAACTTCCAAAGTGATGGAAATTGGGCAGTTGGGAAGAAGATAGCATATTATATTCCAATTCTCAGAAAGCAGTTTCATGAGCAGTCAGAGAGCATAGTGACTTTATTTTTGGTAAAGGAAGTAAATTTTCAGGAATAAACCAAGAAATCAAATAAGGAAACTATGAGAGAACACCAGGGCCAGGGTGAGGGAGAACTACCTCGAGCAAACAGGTTGGAGAAATCCGTCTCAGTGCGCCGGAAGCGGGCATCACGGTCACTGTTTTCGCAGGAAAGTAGGTTCTTGGAGGACTGCCTTTCCTTGAAGGCGCTCACAAGACGGCTCTTCTCTTCCAGGCTGTTGGTCCTTTGCAAGAAGCCTATGACACAAGAAACTCAGTCAGAGGGAGTATGCCCAGCTATACTGACTCCAAAGGTCAGCTGCTGGGTCTAAGCCGATTCTCCAAATGGGCCTCTTGCTTCTCCCTCTGCATTATAAAATGCAGTTTAGTGTCTGCATTTTATATGGAGTGGCTCTGGCACTACCTGCCTTCAGGAGGGAAGGGGGCAGTGCCAAGTGTCATCAGTGGCACAGACTCAGTCATGCAAGAAAAAATAAAAAAGTAAGTGAAGCCCATTCTGTTCTCTGAATGTGACAGTGAACTCAGAATTAAGTCTACTGGATCACTTCCACTTCAGTAACTAGCCCCAGGATGGGGTTTTAAGGGAAGGGATACAACCAGAAAGGATGCTACCAGCACTGAATTTATGCCCTGTGCAGCCAGGGGGAAGGAGCAGGAGAGAAGGACCAGCACTGGATTTCAGGGAAGTTGCTTTCCTCTGGCACCAGGTAATACTCATAGGTTTGAATATAAGTTCTGGGCCTAAACTGAAAAGCAGTTTATACTGAACTGCCCTCTATTTATGGCCAAACTTCGCCTCTCATACTTCGGACATATTGTCAGGAGGGAGCAGTCGCTGGAGAATATCATGTTTGGTAAGGTGGAGGGTCAGAGAAAAAGAGTGAGATGGATTGGTCAAGTGGCAGCATCAAGCGTGGCAACAATAGTGAGGTTGGCCTAGGATCAGGCAGTGTTTCACTCTGCTGTGCATAAGGTCACTATGAGTCGACACCGACTCTATGGCACCTAATAACAACAACACCCTCTATCCTGGTGTGGTGCTGTAAGATAAGCATTAGACTACTAACTAAGGTTGTGTTTCAAACCCACCAGCCCCTCCTGGGAAACCCTATACAGGGTCGCTGTAAATGGAAACTGACTCAACAGCACTTAACAACATCCCTCTCTCTATCCTTGAACAAAGATATTGGAGAAAGGAACAAGAAAGCTTAAAATCTATGTTGTTGTTGTTGTTGTTGTGTGCCGTTGAGTCGGTTCCGACCCATAGCGACCCTGTACAGGGTTTCTGAGGGTGTAAATCTTTACGGGAGTAGAAAGCCTCATCTTTCTCCCATGGAGCAGCTGGTAGTTTCGAACCGCTGACCTTAAGGTTCGCAGTCCGATTCGTAACCACTACGTGACTTTTAATTCTATAAACACATATTGAGCACCTATTGTTGAAAAACACTTTTAGGATGGGGAGAGCAGATAAAGATAAATTAGACAGACACCCTACCCTCTACTATCATACAGTCTAACAGGCAAGACGGACATGGGTGTATATGGTTTTGAGGTGACTAAGTTTGTAATAAACACAGAATGTGATCGAAGGACTTGAAAGATATGAACACTGAAATCCAGAGTAGGTTCTAAGCATTTCCCCTCAGTAATTTAGAGGAAGTGGAGATCTCTCCCACCTGACAAGAGCATAACAATCAACACCAGCAGTAAACAGAGAAGCAGGGCTGAATCAAAGGTCTGGAAGCTGCCAAACTGGAGCTAACTCCTCTTCCTCTACCTCTGCCTATGCCCTCTGGAATTCCTGGCATGCAAACCTGCTCTTGGACCCTCAACATATTCTCCAACAATTCAGCCTCAATCTTAGGCCAAAATGCAACATACTTAAGAGAAGAAGAAAGTTCTAAACTTCTTGGTGACCCCCAAACTGTCTTTGTAGGTACCAAGATCCTTGGGGAGTCGCACACATGTCACAAGACAGGCTTGGAAGGAAGTCCCAGGAGGTGTAAGGAAAGATAAATGAATCCAGGGAATTCAGCTTTACTTCCCCAGGACAGTAATTCAATGGTGATGGGTGGAAGAAGAAGGGATGCAAGGGAAGGTTTCGGTGATTAGAATCCTCCCACACACAGGAGCCAGTGCCTATTTTTGGAGGGAGACATAGGAAAGCAGAGGCACCAGGCCCTTTATTGTTTCCAGCACCTTCTAAACTTATCACTAAAGTCCTAAAAGACATCAAAGGGGGGAAGTAAATTATAATAGACCCCACACTTGGATATAAAGATGGGGATCATATCCTTTCCTTCACTTCTTCTCCCACTTTCTGAATTCCTTTTCTAAATCCCCAGAGTCCTAAGCCAAGAAACAGTACTCATTTGCTAGTGAATGAAATGGCATCCAGAGGGATGCAGGAACATCTGGTCTCCTGGTCCTGAAACAGTGAGCTGTGGAATTGTTGTTATGTGCTGTGGAGTTGGTTCTGACTCATAGTGACCTTGCACAGGGTTTCCGAGTCTATAAATCTTTACTGGAGCAAAGAACCTCATCTTTCTCCCATGGAACCGCTGGTAGTTTCGAACTGCTGACCTTAAGGTTCGCAGCCCGATTTGTAACCACTCCGCTACCAGAGCTGTGGAATACGTTAGGCTAAAAAGCCCAAACCCCAGTGGTCTAATGGAGGTAAGGGCCTGCCTGTCTGAAGCCCCACTCCAGTCTCTGTCCTCTGGCTGGACTTCAGACTCACTCCCCTGGGGAAACCTTAACTTTCCCTAGAGCATTAGAAACCCCCTTCCTACAGGCAGCTCCTGGAACCAGGACCTTGATTTAGGCTTTGGATATTATCCCTCACAAAGGAAGCTTTGACACAGGCGCTCTAGAGATGTTCTGAAAGAGTTGGAAGATGATAATTATCACATAACTTTAAATCTACATCTCATTCAAGGACCATACTACCTCCAGTGTGCTAGGAATTAATATTTTCTATAAATCTGTATAGTTATATTACAAATAGCAAAATTACTTTGCTTTACAATTTTTTTAAAACCTATTGGAGTTTTTTTTTTTATTGGCTCTTGTTCCAGGAGCCTCCAAAAAGGTAAATGAACCATGTACCTCAGGACTCTGGAAGGAACCAGATATTTCTCCAAAGAGGGAAAGGTGGTGGATAACTTTAGGGTCAGAGCTTTGACTTCACTGACTCCCAAGGGAAAGCAGCAGAGTGACCCTGACATTGAAGCAGACTATACTCTCTCTTCACTTCACACCCTGACTATCCGACCCGGATTCAAGCTTGTGGGTAATTGGATATTGTGCTCAATAGTCTTACAGGCAAAGAGAAGTCAAATCTGTATGCTGTCTGACTTCAGGGGACGATAGAACAAGCCTTGTCATGACTCCACCTCAAGACCAAGAGGAGCTCCTATTGCTGGTTCCTTGCTCCTGCTTCCAATTTAAAGGTCTAAAGGAGGGAACATGTGACGACCTAAAGGAGTCATTCAACGCTTGGCTGCAGGCAGCTGTTTCCAGGGGCTTAGTGCTGTGCATGGCATAAGGGCACACAGCCAAGGGGGTGGTGTGTCCTGGCACTAAGCTGCATCTGTCTGGAGGAGGGGTTCTTATTCTCATTTGAATGTGCTGAGAACATCTTGCCAACTCATCTCTGCCCCCCCCCCCTTTTTTTAAAGAATAGCTAGAAATATAGAATATTTGAAGTCTCTAATATTTTTTAAAATTGGCAACGAATACAAAAAGTTAGATACACACACGATGTGGGATTTGTATTTCTCAGCCAGTTTGGGAACTTTGCATAGATAAGTAATGGAGGTCCCACAACACACTGAGAAGTTAGCAGAGTCCAGGGCCAAAGTTACGGTCCCCTGGATTCCTTTCTATTTATGCCCCACCACCAAAAACACTAGCTGATTGCTCTCCCAGGGGGACTCTGTCTCCAGAGCTAAGGGTACCACTAGTGGCACCCAGGGACTTCCTAGCAGTCTTATTCGTTGACATTTAGTGGGAGAAGAGTAGAGGACTTGATTTTTTGCAAGGGTAGAGGATGTTTACTGGGGTTGCTCATGACAATAGACTTGGAGGGGAAAGAGGACCATTAGTCCCTTTGCTGTTTAGTGAAATGTCAAACCAAATCCTGTGGTGTATGTCAGGCGGGCACCCGCCAGGCCCACAAAGGTCTGAAAGGAGTAGAGTGCTGGGGAGTGGGCTACAGATCCAAGTTAAAACCATGAACTGTACTTTGCCTCCTCTTGGTTAGTCAGAGATGGCTCAAAGTATGGAAAAATCAATCCTCTTGGCCTGTTTTCTTTCCAAATCAGACCTAAGGTGAAGCTTGCTAACCTGTGGCACCAAACTTGCTGAAGGAAATTTCCTCCAACAGACTATCCTGTCCTTCCTCACATGGGCTGCAATTTCCCTAAAATTGCCATGTTCTAAAAGAGAGGAACCCCTGGTGTGGCTCTGTAGCATCAGCACTGGACTTCAAACCACAAGGTCAGCAGTTCAGCTGCTCCTCAGAAACCCTATACAGAGTAACTATGATTCGGAACTGACTCCATGGCACTTAACAACAAGAGTGAGGAAAAAGAACCCTGCCTCGTATATAGTGGGTAACAGTTGGGCTGCTCACCACAAGATCAGCAGGTTTGGGGAGAAAAATTAGACTTTCTGCTCCAGTAAAGATTTACAATCTTGGAAACCCTATATAGGGTCACTGTCAGTCAACTGGATACACAACCACCACCATCAAGAGTGAAAGAAGGAGCCTTGGTAGGTTAGGTGTTGGGCTGCTAACCGATACTGGGAAGGTCCTAAGTACAAACTCACCAGCCACTCTACAAGAAGAAGGATGAGGCTGTCTACTCCCCTTAAGATTTACAGTCTCCAAAATTCTAAGGAGCAGTTCTGCTTTATCCTATAGGGTCTCTGTGAGTCAGAAACTGGGTGGCAGTGAGTTTGAGGTTCGGTAAGGAGCTCTGGTAGCGTAGTGGTTATGAGTCGGGCTGCCAACCTCAAGGTCAGCAGTTCGAAACTACCAGGGGTTCCGCGGGAGAAAGATGAGGCCTTCTGCTCTCGTAAAGATTTACAGCCTCGGAAACCCTGTGCAGGGTCGCTATGAGTCGGAATCAACTCTTTATCCCATAGCACAACAACTCCTACCACACCAGGACTCTAAGGTAGCCCCTAAATGCCCAAGAGCTCTTCCTCATGACTCTGACTGTCAGAGTGGTTGTTGTTGTTAAGTGCTATCGAGTCGGTTTAGAACCATAGTGACCCTGTATAGGGTTTCCGAGGAGCTGCTGGTGAGCTTGAACCATAGACCTTGCAGTTCAAAGGGCTTTGCAGTCTGGAGCATTAACCCACAGCGCCACACCAGGAGAGAGAGGGAATTAATGCTAAATCCAGGACCCCCTATTTCAGGACTGGGAGAAGTGCAAATCTTTTTCTTTCAGATCATGTTGGATTGGTGCCCGCAAGGAGTTCTCAGGTCATTTCTTCTCGCAGAGCCTATAGCTCCGGTAGCAAGGAGCAGAAATGGATGAGAGCCGCCCCCTCGAGGCAGGTCCAGCACCGCACCTCTCTGTTTTCCCAGAAGCTAGGAAAGCCGCCCTTTATCCGCACCCGCCTCACTCCTACCTTCCCACCCCCCACCCCGGGTCCTCAGCGGGCGCTCGGGGCTCAGTTCTGCTTGCCTGGCTGCATGACAATGACGGCTGCGTGAGCCCAGTGCCGCGACCGCCAAAGGGACCCGGCGCGAAACGGGCCATTAGGCCTGGAATGGCGGCTGGGGGAGTGGGCTATTTATAGAACAAAGCCAGCAGCCTGCCACTGCTCCGCTCGGACACGGCCCTGGCCCGCTCCTTGGGCCACCCAAGCTGGGGCGAGGGCTAAACCCCGGGGCTCAAGGCTGGGGCTTTCTCAGAATCTAGGCTAAATCTGAGAGGTGAGCTCCCTTCCTCACTGTAAATGCTGGCTCCGGGATCAAGGGGACAGGGTTCCAGAAACTCGGGTCAGAGAGATTACCCGAGGGCTCCTCAATAACCCTACTCTTTTCAGGCCCCACTCTTCGGCCGCCCACGGTGCGGGGGGAAGTTGGGAAGCTCAGTCCTAAAGGACATCCACTCGCAGGTGCGCCCGAGCCTGGGGCGGGAGCTAGATCGAGGGAGCCCCTGGGTGCTTGCCCGACTCCAGTTCCGCCACTATCTCCAGAGGCTGCGGCTGACGGATGTTTCCTTAATAAGCCTCTCGTTAATCTTCA